GACTTGGATCTGTTTAACAGTGCTGTCTATGGCACAGGGTTTGTGCTGTCACGCCCTGATGCCGAATTATATGCTCTCTGTCATAGAATGGTTTGGGTTGGAAGGGACCTTAAAGATCATTTAGATCATCATCACCCCGCGGCCATGGGTAGGGACACCCTCCACTAGACCAGGTTGCTCAAAGCCTCATCCAGCCTGACCTTGAACACCTCCAGGGATGGGGCATCCACAACTTCCCTGGGCAGCCTGTTCTAGTGTCTAACCACCCTCACAGTGAAAAATGTCTTCCTAATATCCAATCCAAATCTAAATCTACCCTCTTTCAGTTTAAAACTGTTACCCCTCGTCCTGTGACTACACCCCCTGATAAAGAGTCCCACCCCATCTCTCCTGTAGGCCCCCTTCAGGTACTGGAAGGCTGCTATAAGGCCTCCCCTGTCGTTCCACAGGTGCAGGAGGACTGTGTGCAGGTGCTGGACTCCCTGTCCAGGTGTGTGAAGTGGGCAGAGGGCTTCCTCCTGGTCTACTCCATCACAGACTACAGCAGCTACCAGTCAGTCCAGCCTCTCTATCAGCAGATACGCAAGGTCCACCCCGATGCCAGGACTCCCATCATTATCGTGGGGAACAAAGCAGACCTCCTCCATGCCAGGCAAGTACCGACGAAAGAGGGACTACAGCTGGCAAGTGAACTGGGCAGCCTGTTCTTGGAAATCTCCACGAGTGATGACTCCCAAGGCGTCTGGGATGTTTTCCAGTATCTTTGCAAGGAGGTCAGCAAACTCCAGCACGCCGGGAGCACGGACAGGAGGCGGTCATCCATCATCCCTCGGCCCAAATCTCCCAACATGCAAGATCTAAAGAGACGTTTCAAACAGGCTTTATCATCCAAAGTCAAATAAAACCCCTGATGAGATCCTGCGTGACTCAACAGACTTTATTTTTGTAAACTAGTTAATCAAAATATTTATTTTTGTACTATTGCCAGCATTATGGAAGTAAGTATGTCAGAGCTTGCAATTTTCTTGCCATTCTCTCTTGTTTGACTGGTAGGGTTGTTTTTACAAAAAAAAAACCCCACAACAACCAAAAACAACGCAATGCATAGCAACTGAATAGAAGTGGTTGGAGAAGGGGATTTTTGCCGGGAGGTTTGGGTTCCATTTCTGGTTTGGGCTGGGATTTGCTGTTTCACTCTGCTCAAATGACTTTTTTTGAGCCTCGGTTTCCTGTTTGTAAAATGGGAATGATGATGATGTAACATTCACCTGTCTCTATAAAATGCTTGGAAGGCCTTTGATGAGAAGCTTTATATGGAGAGAAAAAAAAAACTTTATTAAACATGAAAATATAAAACTGTCTGTAAGCATTCTGATTATCATGGGATCTCTGTTGTCCCTTGACTGCTGTTTCGCTTGTACCTATGATCACCTGAATGATGATAAGCTGTTAGGAATTAGTTCCAATTTCTGATGTTGTTTAGAGATGTATCCCACAGGATTCATCTTGTGAGCCCAAGGCATTTAATGGGAGGGTTGAGTTTCTCCTACAGATTACCGTGGGACAAAGTGCTGAGCAATCTGCAGCAGAGGAGGGTGTGGGGTGGCTGTTGCTTTCTCTGGAGATGTGTGATAAGAAGGACTGATGCGTAGGTTCCCTTAACAGAAAATAGCTATATTTAAAAGGAATTGCATCTTTATCTTCCCCAGGGCAATTTTGTAGCCATTGGAAACGAGTCGACTTTTTATTCTTATTTCACATAAGCTCTAAACCATACTAGAATGGTTTTTGTTAACTGTTTGCTGGATGTCTGAGCATGGAAGGTGGGTTTTACACTTCAAATATGTCTCTGAAGTATGTGCATGGTATTGGTAAAAAATAAATCTCTGCTCCCATGCTGAGTAAAAAGTGTGGAATTGGAGTAATCTGTACAGGGAAAAACTTGCTGTCACCCCTCAAGCACAACTCCATGAAGATTTTTTTTTTTTTTTAATCTCATAGATTAATTACAAATACTGTTTTCTTTTTTTCTTTTGTTAGTAAAGGCAGGTAGCTGCTGTGTAAGTCCCAGTGCTGCAGGGACATGGCTGTACCTTGCAGTCAGTGGGAAGTCTCTGTTGTTTCTGGGCTGCCAGCAGTGCTATTCTCCATCCAGGGCCGTGGGCACAGCATCAGCCCAGGCACATTACCTGTACATCCCCTCTCCGAGGGCCCTGTGGTGACCCTCCAAAGGGAACGGGAGAGCTGGAGGGAGGTAGCTCCAGACCTGCGGGAACAGCCTGAAAGCAGGACTGCAAACTGTGTCCAAAACTCTTGAGTTAATTAATGGAAGTGCAAAGGCATGGTGACAGCCTAGACAAATCAAAATACTGTTTAGAACACCTTTTAAATATTTCTTTGTGAGAGTTGCTCTGCCAGGCACAGGACACTGAGCTGGGGGCTCGAGGGGAGCAGGAGGACGGGGTTGATGAGAATAAGCACATCCCTGGCAGACTTGAACTCACTGAACTCACATTCACAGGGAAATTTAGAGGGAAGTTGAAGAAGCACAAGTGGGATATTTATGCAGCGTTTCACCATCCTGAACTCAGGGATAACGAATTGTTTGTGACAGAAATTGCCACTGTGATACAGCATTGGTTGTTTTTTTAACTGTAGCGTTTGTCTTTGGAAATGACAGAGCTTGATTTCCTACTCACATATCCAGTACAGAGTTTCACTGAGCAAGTTGCTAAAGGTGTCCAGCCCATACATGGGCAAAAAATATCCTAAAAGGGCAGGTAATATGCACTGGACCTGTTTGCATCTCACCGTGGTCCTTAAAGGCCAGGTGAAAAAGAGCATTGTGCGCCAGCCTCCAGTGCCTCCTGCTGTCACCAGCAAAGCCGGAGCTCAGGGCCCCACAGTGGCACAGGGAGAGTTTGGGCAGGAGCCAGTGGGCACATGAGGGGGAGGGATGGGCAGGAGCAGGAGGGTCAGTACAGTCATTTGTGCCATCTCTGCTATGGGGAGAACTTTAAAGAGATGTCCCTTGTTATGCAGGCACCCATGTTCAGGTGAAGGCGCAAACCATCCTGACCCCTCCCCACGTTTCCCACGCTGTTGGGCTGGTTCAGTGGTGTGTTGGGAACAGGACGAGGCCCCTGGGGATGTAATGGGGAGTCTCGCTGGCCAAAACAATGGCCACGGCGGGGAGGTTGGGCTGCTCTGACCTGTCTCCAGTCTAAGCAGCTGAGCTGGGGTGCTCTGGATAATGCTTTTGGGTACAGGTACATAAATCAGGCATTCAAGCTGTTTGTCAGAATTTGTCATGGCTGGCAGAGATTTACCCTGAAGTTTTCAGCCCGTGCAATGCTGAGCTGACAGGCAAAGTGCAGGAGGAGCCCGCTGGCTCCCAGCTCGTTTTGCCCCGGCATTTTCTTCAGTCCTGGGCAAGTGTACAAAGAGGGGCACTGGGGCAGGGAGGGAAAAGCATCTCTCAATTGCTAGCAGAGGAGCTCTATAGCCTTGTTTATCTTGGGCCATGGCCAGTTATGTCCTCCCTATTGAATACTTGCCGTCAGCAGTCTCGCAGCCCTTCACCTGGAGGCCAGGGTGACTTCAGGAGGGTAAGAGGGGCATAGCCTGGCCTTTCTCCTTGATTGGAGGAAAATACGTGTCTGCCTCCTTCCTCCCACTACCTCCGCTATGAAACAGCATCACAGCAATTTCCCCTGACAAGATGGATGAGTGGGTTTTCAGAAGGAGGGATGTGTGTGGCATCATGCACTGTTATGGCTGCTACTACATCAGCATCTCTCTCCTGTTGGGCTGTTTTGTCTAGTTATCTACCAGCACTGAAACCATCCAGTAATGCTTTAAGATTTCATGAATTTTAAAATAGCTGCTGCCATTAACCTGTTCTGTACATTTCAGATCAGGAGCCACAGATCCCTAGGCAGAGACAGAGATGTTTTCTCCAAAAGGCTTTACAGATGTCCCCTTGCTTTCTGCCCTGCTTGAGCAGCCTGGATCCAGGCTGCCTCGTCGCTGCCTCTTGGAAAGGATCTGGCTATCAGCACATGCGATGGTCAGTGGTGCAGGTCCATGCTCTGTTTCTGTGTCTTGGTCATATGAAGGACTGTGGACAAGAAGAACCGTGTTCACACTGTGGGCAAGAGCTGGGTTCTTGCTTCAGACATGCGTCAAAAGTGGTTGAGGCTTGTACAGATGGATAGATAACTAGAAACAAATCTGCACCTCATGCCTGGACCTCCTATAAAGTAGTTTTAGTTCTGGGGGACTTCAATAGCTTTTGGTTGTTGGAGTCGCTGTTTGTTTAGAAAGATCTGAATAGGTTCAGAATAAAGTCCTTAAGAGAAAGTTGAGCTTTTGCAGCAGTTGTTGCACAGGGCACGTGACCATTGGTGATTCACATCAGTAAGACAACAGGATCTCTCCAGTTGCTCCTAAACCCAGGTTCCGAAGCCAGTTGTCCTTCCAGGAGCAATATCTCTGGGGGTGATGCTGTCACTGCATCACTGCACTGAGGTACATGCAATCCTCCAGAGAGCTGTCTTCCCAAGAGACCTTCAGAGTGACGCCCCTGAAAAACTTATTGTCAGTTAGAGCATGGCTCAGCTCAGCTTGGGGTTTGGGTAATTAGACTTCCAGAAAACCCCACTGATCCTCAGACTTGCTCTTCCACTGGTCTCCTCTTTCCACTTATCTGAAAACAAGGAGAAAGCAATGTCTTTTTATCAAAAATGGTTTTGAGATAACTGGTTTATTAAGTTTTCTTACTACATTCATTGTTTGATGCTCTTGGTTGAGAGAAGCATAAATACATATTGTGACTTGTTATGCCATTGTACATTGTGGAGCATAACTACTTGCATACTATCTTCCCACACTACCAAAAGAAAAATTAAAATATAGAAATTGAGCATCGATTTCACTGGCCTATGGTACTCGATTTAAAACTGAAAAGCTATGTAGTAAACTTTGCATCATGATTATAGAGCTCCATACACGTTATAGCTGCAATTATTAAAAATGCATTTGGTTGTTTGCTATCCATGTTTTCCTTCCTTGGCTGAAAATAACCATCCATAGGAGAAATCCTCACCCGAAGGCGCTCATGGTGTGAGCTGCTGTGTGTATGTGGCTGCTTCAGCCCCACGCCTTGTCCTACATGCTTTGCTGGATAAGTGCTTGGGCAGAGGCATCTGCCCATGTTCCCTGGGCTTGTAGGGCCATGGTTCAGGGAAGTGTATTTTGCTTTTGATCTGTGCACAATATTGCCATTAAAATGTATCTGTCCAGGAAATTGCGCAAGGTTATTTAATAGTCAACCTGCATTACTGGGAAGCAGTAATTAATTCTTAAAGCTGGAATATTTATCTTCTAAGGTATTTGGCTCTTTACCCATTTCTAAAAACATCCTCTTCTCAGGTTTCAAATGGTCCTTGTAAACATTTCACAGTAATTTCCTCCCTTGGGATGGTAAGCCAATATCAGCAAATATTGTTTCTGGGCCCAGCTCTGAGAAGAGGAGACTAAACCTTCCCCTGGCTGGGGCAGCGAGGTGAATTACAAACTCCGGCCCTGCAGCTGATACTTCCTTCCCCTCCCGCAAACGAATCCAAATACGGGCAAATCCATGTGCCTGCTGTCTGGGGCTCACAGCCCTGAACCTTTCCAGGAGCCTTTAAGAACATGATTTGATCTGAACCACACTCAACAAGCAGATTTGCCATTGATACTCGTTCTTTTGATACTAAGAAGTCTGAAGGTCTCTTTAACCCTAAGAGACAGAACTGGCAGAAGCCTGAGGAGTGGAGGGATCATGGAGAGACCGCAGCAACAGCAGTGTGGTATTGGCAGCTCCCTGGGATCTGAAGCAGCTAAGGAGGCTGATTTG